TTGAAAACGAGAGAAATCTCAATGTATCCTTCCTGGTAAAATATTTTATAAATATAAATAAATAAATCTGGAAAACAAAAACTGTACATAGTATAATACAATAGAAATAGAGGGAGGGGGAAGGGAAAGTGAGAACACTCGCAAGACGCAGATGAATGCAGGCCTGTCTCCCCAAAAGGTGTTAAATCCGTATGTGCTGTGCTTCAATCTGTGGCTGTAGGTCATGAAGAGAAGAGCCAATAGCGTAATACTATTAAAACAACACTTTTAATGATTAAAATTTCACTTACAAGAAGACAGTATATCCAAGCATATCTCCACCTGTAGTGGACCTCGAGATAATAAAGATGGAGAAAGCAGGAACAACTACTATTAAAAAATAAAATATTAAAATAAAAAATGAGACATACAAAGTAATAAAGTCTCAAAATTAATCCAACGCGTTTCACCCAAAGAGTGGACTTCCTCAGGGATCTGGGACACTGTAGCACTTCTTGGTTTATATACGGGTCTTAATTTCAGACCTGAGATCAACTGACATTCTGACGTATTCCACCGTGGAACGCATTATCCACTTCCTGTAGCATGACGTCATGTCCGGCATCCTAATCCAGCTATATTCGTCTAACAAATGGAATAAAGTTCACACAATAGTATTACGCTTTTTGCTCTTCTCTTCATGACCTACAGCCACAGAATGAAGCACAGCACATACGGATTTAACCCCTTTTGGGAAGACAGGCCTGCATTCATCTGCGTCTTGTGAGTGCTCTTACTTCCCCTTCCCCCTCCCCTCTGTTCCTATTGTATTACACTACATACAGTTTTTGTTTTTCAGATCTGTGATATCAGATTGGTTTATATTACAGTAGGTGGTATTTTACAATTTATGTACATTTACAGATAGTTTTTCATTTATTCATTCACTGTTTTGAAAGATTTTGGAGCTTCAATGTATTAGAGATGATATATTATACATTATTTTTTAATTAACAATACTATTGAAAAGGTCATGAAAATAGCACAGATGGATAAATAGCTATTTTATAACATATCATATATATTTTTGACATATTGCACTATTAGATCCTCTCTGCTCTATTGTTTATGTTGGAGTCATATTGGACACACAAAATTGTGGATCTACACACAGAGACGGGGATTGTACCATCCAAGTGCTAGACAGCAGAGCTCTTAGTAGCTCATAAAAGTATGAGTTTGTTATCTACTTATCCAATTGTTTGTAAAACGTATAAGACATACTACAATATTTTCTGTTTTATTTCTGTTTAATTTTGAGGATTTCCTGCTATTAATATACATAAGTATTTTATTTCAAAGAGACTACGTATGTACACCTATTCATAACACACTATTAGGGATGTGCATGGGCAAAAAATTTGGTTTGGTCCGGCACTTCCGAAATTCGGGACTTCGGCACTTTGGGAATTTGGGACTTCGAGAATGCGGGACTTTGGCAATTCCTTAACCCTAACCCTACCCCTATCCCTTACCCTATACCTAACCCTAACCCTGCGGGTAAGGGTAGGGTTAGGGATAGGGTTAGGAGTAGGGTTATGGTTAGGGTTAGATTCCAGTCATCATTCCCTTAATTTTCCCTCCCTCTCTTGTTTTGCCACTTTTCAGAAATGCACTTCGGCACTTCCAAAATTCGGGTCTTCGGCAATTTGGCACTTCTGCAGTTCGGACATTCGGAAGTATCCGAATTACCGAAATTCATCTGGATTTTCAATTCAGACCGAAACTAATTGCACATGTCTACACACTATTGGATCAATGTTAAAATTGATTTCACCCATGTGATTTTCTGGTTTCTGTATTCTACGCAAGGTTTAGGAATCCTTGTCTATATTTGGCTGCCTGTCTATATTTAAGCGAGCACCTATATCTGCTTTTTCTGTATATTTTATAACATAGTAAATTTCAATGCTTTCCTATGGGGATTTTAGTGACGCGGGAAGTCCTCATATAGTGTGAGGACGTCCAGCGACGCTATAGCACAGAAAACCTGTGCTATAGACCAGGAAGTGCCCTCTAGTGGCTGTCTAGTAGACAGCCACTAGAAGAGGAGTTAACCCTGCAATGTAATTATTGCAGTTTATGAAAACTGCAATATTTACAGTTGCAGGGTTAAGGGTAGTGGGAGTTGGCACCCAGACCACTCCAATGGGCAGAAGTGGTCTGGGTGCCTGGAGTGTCCCTTTAATGGGCAGATGTAATCAAGAAAAATATGCAAATAGCAAGAGAGACTGAATGCATGTGTTAAATCAGCCTCTTGATAATGGAACAGCATCAGATCAATTCTATTCATCTATCAACTTGACTGATTATTTTGCACCAATATCAGATAAATAGATATTTGGATTCTTGCAGTTCATCAATATGTTGTTTTCAATTCTCTATTGACCTACATTACATCCAACATGTGATTATCCTTTAATTACATCCATATATAATTTCAAATTGATGGAGGAGATATAAGTGTTATAGTTTTTATTGGTCAGAATTTATTCATTGACAATTTTGGTGTATTTCACAGAGAATTATATTTGTACAGTCATAACTTCCCTGGCATGTTCAATGCATTGTGCTAGCACTCAATAATGTGCTTTTTTGTGTGCAAATATCTATTTATCGGCGGTAGAAAGTGATAAATTAACATCCCTGCATCTGCACATGTCCTATGTCACCTTCCCGTAATGAAATCTCAGACTTATTTAGCTTATTTGTGCTTCTTTTGCTTTATGTACATCCCAAATATTCTTTGGCTCATTTAGTATCAGCCTTTAGTATTTTTGCTGGAAGCCTATTCTTGATATCTAATGTTCTTCATACACATTTTCCACATTTCACTTCATTCTTTCATACTCCAAACTCAAGGAATGCTTTCTTGTACTACATTGTAGTCAGTGCTCCATTAGTTATAGTGATTTTGGGACTTCACCTTTTAGATATTGTTGGATTATTGTAATTTTTATATATCCTGTATCATCACCATATATTTTTATATTTTTATTGCATTTTAATTAGATTTTAGAGGAGAAAACAGATATAACCGCATACATATAATTTGGTAAAAGGGACACTATAGGCACTCAGACCACTTCAGCTCATTGAAGTGGTCTGGGTGTAGTGACCCTGTCCCCTTAACCCTGCAATGTAAATTATTGCAGTTTCAGAGAAAATGCAATAACTACACTGCAGAACTAAGACTGCCTTTAGTGGCTGTCAATCAGACAGCCCATAGAGGCACTTTGATTGCTAAGCAACTTTTGGTCATCAAACTGATAGATGTCCTTACGCTCTGTGTGAGCAATGCTTTCCTATGGGGAGAAACTTATGTGCTTGCACCGCTCACTGTGCATGCACATTAGTGCCCATTGTCTGGTGACTTCAGAGGAAGCGGAGCACCGACCCAATGCCAAGCATGATTGGCACTGGGATCAGGTTAATACAGTAAGGGTTTATTAACCCTTACACTGCTGGGGGAGGGGGTTTAGGGGAGGGGATCCAGAAGGAAGTATAGTGCTATGAATATAGATTTGTATTCCTAGCACTATAGTATCCATTTAATGGTTAGGATGTGCAGAATTACTGACCATGTTTTATACAAGAACTACCTGATTTTTTTTAATGTTCAGCTAAATGCAGCCACCTACCTCTATGTTTATATTTATTTTTATTTATTGTCTGTGGTTATCTAATATTAACCAGTGAGATGCATTAATGAACAATCCCACCTCTTAGTGTTGAATCTCAGTGCACAAAATATTTATATTTTATTCTGTTTAATACCGTGTGCTAAAATTATTGTTGTATATTGGATCTGTTATTTGTAGTTATGTGGTTTATAATCCTAGTCTAAATAATCTCAGATTTACCTTCTATGCAGAGATAGGCATAGAACATGTTTCTCAAAACATGTTCGCTTTGAATTTTGTTACCAAAGCATTATGAATGAAGTTTCTATGCATTGAATAGACTGCATAATAAATTATTTCTCATCTCTATAGAGGCAGCACTACAATAGCTCCCTTGGTGGGCTTATGCCTGCAAAAGCCGACAAGATACAATGATCTTGTAGAGAGAAATTCAAAAGACATTAAGTTTTCAGATTGAACAACAATGCTCTTTTCTCTGAATACAAATATCTCTAAAAGGCTAGTGCTGGTTTTTATCTTCCCAATTAAATGTAATTTCAATTGGCCATTCCTAGTATAACAAACACATCTGGTGAGCAAAGAAACCATTAAACACCTTTATCCCTGCGGAGCAGACTGGACAAGCTGTGTGAGTTTAGTGATCAGATTAACCTCTTGACTTGCACTAGAGTCTGATTGTTGTAATTTTCTTCCTGTACAATGCCACTTGATCCTTGTTGAAAAGGAGAAGCCACTGTAATCTTCGATGTGCCTCACATGCAACCTCGCTCATAAACACAAGATGAATAGGGTCCTTTGGGAAAGATAGTGATACCCTGTTTAGAATCACTGTATTTCACAAAGGGCATCACATTTAAAAGTAATAAATACAATTTATATCACGATGTCTGCTGTGTAGAGATAAGATATAGACATAAGACTAATGGGGCAGAAAAATGATAATATATTGTACTTATTTTAGGCATTTCCCCATGACAGTTATGCATTTCTATAGGCTATGACTATCCTTATCATGTGATTGCACAGTCCATTAGTAAGATAATTAGGCAGTACAGGCTTTTAAGGTTATATAACTTTTGAAAAATGTTATAATGGAAATCTTTTGAGAGTTGATTTTGAAAGATTTAAAAACACTAAAATGCCCTTCTAGTAGTTTTTTAAAAATATTTATTTTAATTTTCTATTGCCCATTATTAACATGATTATTTTCAAGAGGAAACTTGCTAAAAAAACAAAAAGGAAAAAGTAATGCGTATATGTGGGTTTGTTTCTTTATTATTTCAAGGAATATAGCAGGTCATGGTGGAGCAGCCAGATTCAAGCTGGATCTGATCCGAAAAATACTGGGAATCCTGGGGACACTGGCAAGCTTTTCACCGCTCGCTTGCCAGTGTCCCCAGCATTCCCAGTATTTTTCGGATCAGATCCAGCTTGAATTACTACTGAGTCTCTGGAACTTTGAAAACTTGGATCCTGCAGTGAGAGGGGGACTTTAGCCCAGGAAAGGGCTGACAAGCCTTTTTAGCACAATTAAGACATACGTCCTTGTTGTGCAACTACATTTGTGAGTGTACTTGTTTTTTATTATTCTGTTTTACCTGTTATTAAATACTTCACTATATATTTCTGTTTTTATCTCTTTACATGAATACCCATGAATACTATGTGGTAAATATATTCACATGTTTGTGACTGTGGCGCCCCCGGTGGTATATGTTTTTTAACTATATGTTTTTAAACTATACTCATTTTGTTTGTATTGTTATTGGGACTGGGAGTGATCCCTATTTCGGGGTGATTAGCCTGCACTGTATTTTTGCACTTTTTTCCCACTTACTGCCCTCTTTTTCAGTCAGTTAGAATAATGCTATCATAATTTAGCTTAATTACTATAAAGGGAAAGCAATAATGAACAGATAGATAAAATCTGATGTGTAGTCAACTTGTGCCCAATGTGTTACTCATGTGAAAGTCAAACTAAGTGACTCAAATCTCTAAAGCAGTGACTCCTAAACCAGTGCTCAAGACATAGCAACATATCATAATTTAAGCGTTTGTCAGTTTTAATTCAGTGTATTTACTGTCAAATTCTCAACCGCTAGTGTTTCTTGAGGTTTGGTTTGATAATTACTGCTATATTGTATAGACAGATGAATACATTTATTTCCAATTTACTAAACCTTTCAGTTACTTAACTGATCATTTTTAACCCTATACTTATTCACAGATTTGTTTTGTACTGTGGCTATACATTTCACCTAAAGGTGAACATTTTCTACAAATATTTATTAGTAGAACAAATGGTTTTACCAAGAGGTGAAAAATTGGGGATGTGAATGTTCTCAATATAAGAGAATTAAGAGTAAGCTGTAAGGATTGTATATATTTGTTCTTAAATTAACTGGGTCAAATGTTTAAAAGTCCAAGAATAGCTGTTTAGAGGTTCTATAGACAGTATAAATGATTGACTCACTAATTATATTAGCACTTGGCTACCTAAATGTAGGTAAACGGAAATAGAAATCCAGAGGAGCCTCCATTCACAGAATGTGATATAAATTGAGTTAAGAATATTACTTTTTTCATATTTTTGTAACATTGATGGTGAATAGAGCTGCTTCTTCACTTTTTAAAATTGTTCAGGATCAGCATCATCAAACACAACACCTTGAAAACAATAGAAATGTTCTTAAAAGAAAACAATAGAAAGACTTAGGAGACAGGAGCTGTTCACTGGTTCTAAAACAATATTGCTGCCAATTTCATGCTGGGTACCTAAACTCTGCCCGTACAATACTGTCCATTTTTTAATGAACAGCTTCCAAGCTGTACAGTACTAGGGCAATACACGTACACTCGCATGGGTGAGTTTTCACTTGCATATAGCACAAATGAAAAATTACAAGCCTCGCCTTAGGATGAATTGATTGATAAGTTAGAAACTTTAAAGAGTCTAATAGTTTATGACTTTTGTTTATTGATCATAAATATGAAGTCATTAAAGGTGCATTACAGAAGTAACTATTGAACTGTATTATTATTATTTTTTTGCTTTTTAAATTAATTGAGAATGTTAATCATACATATTGGTAGATTTGTTTAAATATGTGCATGTTAATTATTATATGAATATATTCTGTACTGAAAGATAGTCTATTAATACCAGTTTATATTGTAATTACAATCTGGTCTTTAGAATATCCTGTGGGGATATTTATGGGATGATAATATTAAACAGTCGAGAATTGCCCACTATTTCAATTCTCTTAGATCTTAGAGATCGTTATCATGTAAGTGAAATGTATTCCACACAAATAAAATCACAATTTGTTATAAAAATAGATATAATTTATTGTGACAAATTAAATAACAATAATATTAGTGATCAGTGAATATTTAATATAACATAAGTATGTAATACAATGGCAATATTAAAAACAATCCAATGTTTAAAGGACCACTATAGTGCCAGGAAAACATACCCTCAGGGTCCCCCTCCCGCCCGGCTCTGGGGAAAGGGGTTAAAACTTACCTTTTTCCAGCGCTGGGCGGAGAGCTCTCCTCCTCCGATCCTCCTCTTCTCCTCCCCGTCGGCTGAATGCGCACGCGCGGCAAGAGCTGCTCGCGCATTCAGCCGGTCACATAGGAAAGCATTCATAATGCTTTCCTATGGACGCTGGCGTGCTCTCACTGTGAAAATCACAGTGAGAAGCACGCAAGCGCCTCTAGTGGCTGTCAATGAGACAGCCACTAGAGGAGATAGGGGAAGGCTTAACCCATTCATAAACATAGCAGTTTCTCTGCTATGTTGATAAAAGAAAGGGTTAACCCTAGCTGGACCTGGCACCCAGACCACTTCATTAAGCTGAAGTGGTCTGGGTGCCTAGAGTGGTCCTTTAACAGCATCAACTGTCAAAACTTACAAGATTTATGAGGGTATTTCACAGACAGAAAGTAAAACTTCACACAGCAAAAAGCCATAAAACCTTGGCTAACAGTTAAATCAACTGAGTAACCCTTTCAATGCTGGCTAGATCCTCCTAGGCATATAGTATCCTATTCTCATGTAATCTTCAATTAAAATAACATTCGAACCAGCTCATTAATAATTTCCTGGAACCATCCAATAAGAATAATCTACAAGATTTTTACAAAAGCCGAATTTTAATTTGCCTAAAAAGATATCTTATTTAGATTAAATCAATACACCTGGATAAAAACAGTGGTATGCTAACACGTGATAATATCACATTAATATATAATTATTCTTAATTCCACCTGCAGAATGGAATGTTTATAACTATATATTCTTTCGTTAACTAAGATTTCTAAATTTTGAAATCTGACCATGATTTATCCAGTCATATATAATGCTATTAGATTTTAATTAATTTAGATTAATTAAATAAAACCAGCATAATTACCAGTTATGTAGGTATTCTCATCAGATGAGTAGGAAGTCCCAGGAACATGCGAGTATGATTGGTTGTATAGAGGTGCGTGAGTAATAGAGAAAAGTGATGTTGGTTAGAAAGTATCAGTAAAATTCTAAGTGTCAAGGAGTGTTTCTTGAGTTGTGTCCAAGAGAGTTTGAGAGTTGACTGTTAGTCCCAGAGAATCTCTCTGTATGTCCAAATCTGAATGCCCAAACTCCACCAACTAACCCTCTCTTCCCTTTGTCCTAACTTTTAAAGGGCCAGACTCTCTGTACGTCAGTTGATAAGGCCAATAGGAAACTGAAGGTGTGTTCAACCTTCAGATCGCAATTTAGGTATTTGATCTATAGAGGGCAGTCTCGTCTCACTAAACCTTCCTATCCAGGAAAGAGTTAACTTTTCCTGATGACAATTTTGATGTCAATTGGCTTATCTAAAATGACTACTATAACTTAAATTTGCTGTCAGTTCAAAGCGTTTGTCTCAGTCTTTGTGGCAACTACTTTGATCGTAATTTCTAAAATTGACAGTTCTAAACTCAATTTCACCCCTTACCTACAATGGGACCTTGTAAAATTTAGAGAGTAAAATTAAGTACTTAGTCTTCTCTGTTACTAGTGTCTGTGTTCAAAATTATTTCTATTCTATTAACATTTAGACAGGGCCTTCTATACCCCTGCTTCATTGCTTATCACTTGGCTTCTTTATATAATGCATTCCTTAACTCAGGCTAGTGGCTAGTTACAGAAAACAAGAAGAAATTATGTGTCTTTGTTGGCCTGAAGATCCAAAATGGAGTCCGCTCTGCTCTGCGTGACTCTGGCAATATACACTTTTAATTTCTATTTTAGCACAAAATGTCTGCCGATATAAATATCCTGACAATCCGTACCAGTATGGTATGTACTTCACGTTTAGTGCGAATACAGCCCTAAAGTTCTGCAGAGTCCAATTAAGCAGGACATTTCATGCTGGCATGGTCCATATGTCATTAGCACATTATATTGAAATGGTCCCCATGGGGTCAAAACACTGTGAAATTGTTAAAATGTGTTTATTTTTTCAGGGGCATTAAATGTATTACTTCGATTGAAAGGACAAACTAACACTGAAGTCCAAATATGGTCTGCAAATGGTAATAAAGGAGAGCAATGGCATCAGGCTCGTTTAAATATACATCCTACCACTTCCTTTCAGGTATGAGCTTAGTAAATCATATTTTGGGTGTATACTCATTAAATATGTTTTGAGATGACAACTAGGTTGTAAAATTTAAGCCAAAATTTTGGAGTTTGTATTTTTTTAGCTTGACTGTATTTGTTCTAATTTGAAACTTTTGCATGACACGTTAATGATGGAATACTTATACATTCAATTGAAATTGGAGTATTTCCTCCATGGCCGAAGTGATAATCAATTTTTTTTAGTGACCAATTATAGAAATTTGAATAAAAAATAGTGACAGCCACAGTTGGCAGTACAGCTGCATAAAATTGGTAAAATTTCCCTTGCCCAATACATTTAATGATATTTTACACAATATTTGTGTCTAAAACACTCTTGTTATATAATTTAATAAAACAGATCATGTGTTTAGATGCATTAAATTAGCTATAGCCATTGTGTATTCTAGTGGTATTGTTTTTTTTTTCATCCATATGGTTCATTCATATGCCTATGACATCTTGTAGCGTGTGAATTACATATGTGAATAAAAAGTGCATGTTCACAAGGAGGGGTGAGCAAACAATTTACTGAATCCTAAATTAAAACTCCCTTAACCATAACATTATTTTCTACCATTTATTGTATCTTGCAAACCAGAGAAGAACAGAATGTGCTTGTCACAAAGTCTAAAACATTTGTGACTCGCTGTGTTTCCTGGAAATATGTAGTCTAATAAGTAGTCTAATAAGCTGAATATTAACTATATACCCATAAATTCTGAAATATCCCTATAAAGTGAGGGTTTAAAAATAAAATCAATACCAAATTGCTT